GAGTGTTGTTCAGCATGGGGGTGAGTAGAAAATGAAGGCTAATCATGTTTTGGGTGTACTATTCCTTTAAAGCTATGGTCAAGTGATGTATACTGTTAATTGACACATATACCCAAACAATAAAACATAAGCTTGGTGATGAAGTTTGGATTTCTATGCAGAATTTTACAAAATACTTCTCTTGCTTTTCTTTTTTGTAATGTAGAGGGAAAAATCCAGCAAATTCTGTGAATTTGTATCAATGGCATCAAAGAGATTAGCTTTCATTAATGAAACATTTACAGTAGTAGCCATTCAACATGGCTGGTCCCCTACAATTCCTTTTTAAACATCAATATTTGTACTAAAATGTTCTTTCTGTCATGATTTGTTGACATTAAGATCCAAAGAGAGGCATCATCTCCTGGTCAGACCCTGTAATTCAGTGAAAGGGTGGAATCGGAGTAAAAAAAGTGGTTGGAAGTTGGAGGGGATTTTGCTGGGAATTGCAGGGAGTTGGACTCCCATTTGGCTGCCGTTTGGCTGGGAAGGGCCTTTTTGAATGGCTGCTACTGGAGAGGACAACCTGCTTTATTTAATCTAATCTATATTTTCAGCTGAACACATTGCTTTGACCAAGCCGCCACTTAGTGAGCATTTGGAAGCAAAAACAACATTTAGTATATTTTGATCTTTTTTAGCTGGGATGACATGTTGTGTTAAGATGTGGTACTTTGTGGTACTCACAATTGTTTTTGACTGTATGAGTGTTTTTAGTGCGAGAGTCGGATGGAATCCCATGGACCTCCACTCTGACAAACGGGTTGAGAGCTTTTCCAGGCTCGAGGCTGGGAAGGTTTGATCCATACATCACCTATGAGGGTCAGCAGAGTTTAGATATAGTTTAAGAGGAAAAAATATTAGGAAAAAAAACAAAACAATCAGGCTTCTAATTAATACATTATGATATTAAAAACAGAGAACCAGAAAGAACAGTCCTGTCACTCTGCCAAATCGAACCTGAATGTATTTATCAACAAATGCATGACTTAACACTGATAGAGCCTTTCTGTGTCCGGCCTCAGATTACAATCCTACTTTAAAAAAACGATCACGCTATGTATAATGCATATAAAAAAAAGTAAAAAAGTTATTTCGCCCAGTTAGAGAAATACCTTAAAGCTGGTCTTTAAATCTAAAAAAATTACAGAAAGCTTTAGAGAAAGAAATTAAAATTTATATTCTGACTTTAATCTCAGAATTCTGACTTTTTTCTCAGAATTCTGACTTTTTTTATTGTCAGAATTCAGTCAGAATTCTGAGAAAAAAGTCAGAATTCTGGTGTTTTTCCCATACTAAACTGAAATAAAATTTAAAAATCAGTTAACTTTTTTTTTCCACTTGCCCTAATCCTCTTCTAGATTGTATTTATAAGGTAAACTGATCAAATAATTCAATAAAAGGAAATGCAGATATCGCCGTATATGCCTTTATTTTATATTATAAAATCTAGTGAATCTAGTGACTGAATGATACAAAAGCAAATCAAAGCCAGGTTGTTAACTCATGCAGACATTCAAATTCAGTTCTGGTCTACGGTATTAAACAACCTGGGCTTCCTTAAGATCTCAACAACACCACAGGCTGATCCAGTCCATGCAATTCCACCTTAATGAAATTATTTGGGCTAAAAGTCCCTCTACCAAATATTTTTTTTTTTATTATTTCAATTTCATATATATTTTATTTCACCACAACAGAAAGGCTAGATTAGAAATTAAGGATTAAATACTCTATAGTTTTATGTTTTTAGGCATGAAAATATTTCTGCATTACAATATTTACACGGTACGGAAGAGGATTAGGGCCACTAAAAAAAAAAAAAAAA